ATTTGGGGTCACAAATTCAGACAAAATGACTGAGCCCTTAGCGAGAGAGTTACTCTGTAGTTTTTGAATTCTAGTATCTTGTTAATCAAGATACATATATATATATATATATATAATATCTCTCTGATTTTTTCCCCTACTTTATGAAATATGTCATAAAGATACACGATCCATATTAGAATTTATAGTATGGAAACTCTAAAGGTCAATTTGGGGTCACAAATTCAGACAAAATGACTGAGCCCTTAGCGAGAGAGTTACTCTGTAGTTTTTGAATTCTAGTATTTTGTTAATCAAGATACATATATATATATATATATAATATCTCTCTTTCGTAACTATTAATGTAGATGAATTAACATTATAATGTCCTTACAGCAAGACTGTATTTGGGAAATTCAAAATCATTCTGATCTTATTTATATCTGGAGCAAGGACCTCGCGGAGCACAAGCCTACGGAACCAATGCTCTGGATGTATTTCAGTGTCTGAACATATTTTATTTCAACTTTAATATATTATATTTTAATTATATAAAATTATATTTTAATTATTCTGCTTCTTGAGCTCAGGGCTTTAAAGTTTTCAGTAGCTAGCAATGCCCCTGATCTGAGTCCTTAATAATAAACAAGTCCCACACAAAAAATTTAAAGAAAAATACCATCACTATTGCAATTAATCCATGTAATTACAATTGGATCCATTGTGTATTTTATACATTAAAAAGAAGAATGATTTTGCTTAACTTTATTTATCAGTTCTTTACACTGAGTGTTGTAACCAGGTTAAAAAATAGTTATTCAATATGATGCTTTACGTGAATCCCCACAGGAATTGATCAGTATAACAACAAGTATGTAATTTGAAGGTTAATTACCCCACCTGTGTTAATTGGTTTAAAAGTGAGATAATAATTTGAGGGTTAATTACCGCATCACCTGTATTGATTGGTATAAAAACAAGATGATAATTTAAGGATTATTTATACATAAAATATATAATTGGAAAATATTTAACTTAAACATATTAAAAATTATACAGCCACATAAACTGATTAAATCTAACAACATCTGATAATTTAAAACATTAAACTGGAAGCATTACATCTCATCAGATAATGCCATTTTGTATTTGTCATAATTAAGTACTAGTTCGAGTACATTCACCATATTATTGGTGAAAATAGTATAATTGTTGGTACTTTTATAGCCATTGTGCTGGTGTGGTACTGTCTGATTGGTTAAATGATAGCCAATCACAGTTTAAACTATCAATATATGACTGTATGTTCTGATGCATTTTATATCTAGTTAGTTTCCATAATTATTTCCATTACTGTATATAATATGATATTAATACAGTAATGTGCTTTTCAGTAAATTTACAATTTAGGATTTACAAGGCCAAAGTTTGTAACATACTTGAATTTAGTTGAGGATTACCTCGTGTTGTAAAAAAAATCAAATCATTGAAGTTGGTTGTAATACATAAAACTTGTAAGTGCAATTGAATACACCTAAGAATAAAGACGTTTTCTTTGTTTTGTTACTAGGAGTATATTTTATCAAACAGATTTTGAGCTAAGCTAAAATTAAAGGTTGTTAACTCTAATTTATAATTTAATGAAGAAGCTGCTGCAAAACATTGACCTTTTGACCTCATGATGAAACAATTCAAAAGTACCATTTTGTTTAATATATCTGTACATAGCTTCAGATAAGCAATTACCAGATACTTTTGAACACTTAGCTATACCAACTATCACAAAGTTGTTACATTTTGTGCAAACATGCTGTATAGTGGTTAATAAGGCTTTAGGAGGGCTCTTTATATGGGTAGATAACCAACTAATTGTGGGTTCTTTCACACAACTATATGATACAGGAATTAAAATTAAGGAATGACATCCTTAAAATGGAAAAAAAAATACAACAGGTTTAAAAACATACATAAGTTGTATCTGTGGATAAACTCTGCTAAGGAGAGGAACAAACTTTTTTTTAACAAGTTTTCCCACAACTGGATTCTTAGATTTGGCAGACTTTGAAACTTTGAGGTAGTCAATTTTCACAACATTTCATTGATTTTACTATCAGTAAAACATATAATTTCATTAAATTTAGAAAAATTCTTAATGCAAGTTATTCTTTCATGTTATGTAGAATAACTGCTTGTAATTTTTTAAACTTAATTCACAACAATTTTCACTTGATTAACAATAAGAACTAAATTAACCGTAAATTTATAACATACACCAATTTTAAAACTACCTTGCTCATCATATATAAAATTATCCACAAGAGATCAATGGTTTTTGAAACAAAAATTTCATTGTAGAAATATTCTATATTAAACTAGCTTTATACATAAAATTAATGCAAGCTTCGAATTCTGAAAGGAATTAAGAATTTTAAGATTGACTTTAACCATAAATTCATTAGTTATATCCTTCAAGGAATTTTAGTATAAGCCAAACAATCTAAGGTTAGAAGTTTTAATTTTTTAAAGTATTGATCTTACAGTCTGATAAGTTCTAACTAAACCGAAGCTTTTTTCAAATTAGCAAAAGATCAATCATTACCTTTTGAAAAGTGTTATTAGACAGGACAATTTACTTTTTGTTTTTTAACAATAATGATTATTTTCAATACTGGTGTTACTCTTTGAGAGCTGTAAAAACATCTTAGAAAAGTAATAAATTTATAATAAATGGATGATATATATATATATATATATATATATATTC